GGTTTCAAGTTCTAACTGATGGGATAAAGGTGATGAACAAAAGCTACACCCAATCTGATCATGTGAATAAAATAATCAGAAGTTTACCCAGAAGATGGGCTCCAATGGTAACTGCAGTAAAGGTGTCAAAATACTTGAACACAATCACCATGGAAGAGCTGATCAGTGCTCTGAGGAGTCATGAAATAGAGCTCAACGAATATGAACCTCTGAAAAGAGAAAGAGGTAAATCTATTGCCCTAAAATTTGTCAATACTTTAGAAACTAACTCCTTGCAGGTAGAAGACTCGGAAGATTCTTCTTCTGAAGAAGATGAACTGTCATTGTTATCCAGAAGGATAAACAAACTCTGGAAAAATAGACAGAGGAAGTTCAAACCTTCCAGCAGACAAAAGGAAAGAGGTGAATCATCTAATCACAAGAGATCTGGAAAGAAAGAAGTTGTTTGCTACGAATGCAAAGAACCAGGTCACTACAAGAATGCCTGCCCAAAGCTTCAAAAAGAAAAACCAAGGAAGCACTTCGAAAAGAAGAAGAGAGGCATGCTGGCAACATGGGATGACTCTGACTCTTCTGATGCTGATAGTCAGTCAGAGGATGAGCAAGAAATGTTGCATTCATGGCAACCTTGTTAGATGATTCAGACTCTGACAGTGACTGCAAAAATATTCAGGTATTTTCTGACTTTTCCAGAGTTGAGCTTGAAAGCTCATTGGCTGAACTTCTTGAAAGTTACAGTAAATTAAAATTAAAATGTAAGGTTCTCCAAAAAGGACCTTCCTCTGAATTTTCTAAACTCAAAACTGAAAACTCTGAGCTAAGAGAAAATCTTTCAAAACTTTCAGAGGAACTCAATACTCTGAAAATATCATCTAGCTCAGAAGATGTCTCTTCTTCAAAAGACATTCTTAAAGAGTATGACATGAGTTTTCAAAAATTTCTTGCTAACAACATAGACAGAAGCAAGATGGCTTCTATGATTTATGGTGTTGGCCAGAGTGGAAGAGATGGCATTGGTTACGTTGCTCCTGCTGGAAATCAAGTATACAAACCAACGCCAGTAGCCAAAATGATTTTCAAGATCAAACCTCTGGAAAATAACTTTGTTTATGGTCATTCTCATGACATAAAATATACTGCTTATTCTGACAATTTTTATGTTAGGCCAAAAGTTAATAAACAGTTTCAGGCTAGACCTAAGTTGAGACAGAACTTCTAGGCTAGGCCTAAGTTCAGTCAGAGCTACAAGGCTAGACCTCAGTTCATAAGGAATTATCCTAAAACTAACAAAGCATGACCCAGAAGATTATGGGTACCTAAGGATAAAATAATCTATGTTGCAGATATCCTTAATGGCAAAGTCCAAACACCGGTCATGGTACCTGGACTCTGGATGCTCGTGTCACATGACGGGAAGAAAGTGTATGTTCCAAAGCCTGGAGCTTAAAGCAGACGGTGACGTGAAGTTTGGAGGAGATCAAAAGGGCAGAATCATAGGCTCTGGAACCATTGGTAATGGTAACCTCTCCTCTATCTCTAATTTGCTTCTAGTAGAAGGATTAGATCATAATTTATTGTCCATAAGTCAATTAAGTGACAATGGTTATGACATTATCTTTAATCAAAAATCCTGTAAAGTTGTGTGTCAGAAGGATGGCTCAATCCTCTTCACTGGAAAGAGAAAGAACAATATTTATAAAATTAATCTCTCTGAGCTAAAAAGCCAGAATGTCAAATGGCTTCTGTCAGTAAATGAAAAGCAATGGGTTTGGCACAGAAGGTTAGGGCATGTCAGCATGAGAAGAATTTCTCAGCTTAACAAGCTGAATCTTGTCAGAGGACTGCCTAACCTGAAGTACAACTCAGGGGCTCTTTGTGAAGCTTGTCAAAAGGGAAAATTTTCAAAACCTTCTTTTAAATCAAAGAATGTTGTTTCTACCTCTAGACCTTTGGAGCTACTTCATATAGACCTGTTTGGACCAGTGAAAACTGCATCCATCAGAGGAAAGAAATATGGATTGGTCATCGTAGATGACTTTAGTAGATGGACATGGGTAAAATTCCAGAAACACAAGGATGAGTCACATTCTGTGTTCTTCAGCTTCTATAAACAAGTGCAAACTGAAAAAGAATTGAAAATAATTAAAGTCAGAAGTGATCATGGTGGTGAATTTGAAAATCAACACTTTGAAAAATATTTTTCTGAAAATGGCATTGCACATGATTTTTCATGTCCTAGAACTCCCCAACAAAATGGAGTTGTAGAACGTAAAAATAGAACATTGCAAGAAATGGTCAGAACCATGATCAATGAAACAAATATTGCTAAGCACTTTTGGGCAGAAGTTGTGAATACAGCGTGTTATATCCAGAATAGAATCTCTATAAGACCTATTCTTGAAAAGACTCCTTATGAATTCTGGAGGAATAGAAAGCCCAACATTTCATATTTTCATCCATTTGGATGTACTTGTTATATATTAAACACTAAAGATCATCTTAACAAGTTTAATTCCAAAGCTCAGAAGTGTATTCTACTTGGATACTCTGAACGCTCAAAAGGCTACAGAGTGTACAATACTGAAACTCTGATAGTTGAGGAGTCAATCAAAGTAAGATTTGATGACAAGCTTGGCAATCAACAGCCAAAGCAAATTGATAATTTTGCAGGAACAGATGTTGACCTCTCAGAGGAAATCATTGCAAAGCAACCTCCGTCAGAAGATGTTCCTCTGGACGAAGCTCTGGAAAACATGACAATTGCTGAGCAACCAACCTCTGGAAGGTATCCCAGACTGAAGTCAGAACATCCAGAAGATGTTATACTTGGAAGAAAGAACGATCCAATCAGAACAAGAGCATCTCTCAGAACTACTGAAGAATCTTTGTTTGGACTTGTCTCCATGATAGAACCATCCTCTATGGAAGAAGCTCTGGCAGATAATGATTGGATCATTGCTATGCAAGAAGAGATGAACCAATTCACAAGGAATGATGTGTGGGATCTTGTTCCAAAACCCAAAGGATTTAACATAATTGGAACCAAGTGGGTGTTTAGGAACAAACTTAATGAGCAATGAGAAGTTACAAGAAACAAGGCAAGGTTGGTAGCACAAGGTTATAGTCAGCAGGAAGGTATTGACTATACTGAAACTTATGCTCCAGTCGCAAGGTTAGAGTCTATTCGTCTCTTAATTTCTTTTGCTGCTCATCACAAAATCACTCTTTATCAAATGGATGCCAAGAGTGCATTTTTGAATGGTTATATTGATGAAGAAGTATATGTTCACCAACCTCCTGGTTTTGAAGATTCAAAATATTCAGAACATGTTTTAAAATTAAAAAAGGCTCTTTATGGACTTAAGCAAGCTCCCAGAGCTTGGTATGAACGTCTGAGCAATTTTCTGCTGGAAAATAACTTTACCAGAGGAAAAGTGGACACTACTTTATTCAAAAAATCAATCAAAAATGATTTATTAATTTGTCAAATTTATGTTGATGACATAATAGTAGGTACTACTAACGCTTCTCTGGGAAGAGAATTTGCTGAGTATATGCATGTTGAATTTGAAATGAGCATGATGGGAAAGCTCAAGTTCTTTCTAGGAATTCATATTAATCAAACCTCTGAAGGAACTTATGTTCATCAGAGCAAGTATGTGAAGGAACTGCTGAAGAAATTCAACTTGTCAGAATGTAAAGAGGCAAAGACACCCATGCATCCAACTTGCATGATGGATAAGGACGAGGTAAGTAAGAAGGTAGATAAAACTCTCTACAGAGGTATGATAGGATCTCTCCTTTACTTAACTGCATCTAGGCTTGATATTTTATTCAGTGTTTGTTTATGTGCTAGATTCCAATCAGATCCAAGAGAATCTCACTTAACTGTTGTTAAGAGAATTCTGAGGTATCTGAAAGGTACTACTAATCTTGTTCTGTTTTATAGAAAATCAGAAGATTTCAAGTTAGTAGGTTATTGTGATGCTGATTACGCTGGTGATAGAATTGAAAGAAAAAGCACCTCTGGAAGCTGTCAGTTTCTAGGTGGAAATCTAATATCATGGTACAGCAAAAAGCAAGCAACAATAGCACTGTCAACCACAGAGGCAGAATATATAGCTGCTGCTGGATGTAGTACTCAGTTGCTTTGGATGAAAAGTCAACTAGAGGACTATCATATTCTGGAAGGTATGATCCCCATCTTCTGTGATAATACCTCTGCTATATGCTTGACTAAAACCCCTATTTTGCATTCTAAGTCAAAGCATATTGAGATAAAACATCATTTTATTAGGGACTATGTTCAGAAGAGAATCCTTTGTGTCAATTTTGTGGACACAGAACATCAGTGGGCTGATATTTTTACTAAACCTCTGTCTTAAGATAGATTTAAGTTCATACTGAGTAATATCAGCATGAAACTTTCTCCAGAGTAAAATGACATTTATCCTCTGAAATTTTTATTGATTTATTTATTATTATTTTATTTTTGTTTTTGAACGTCTGAACAATTGCTCTTCGCAAGTCAGAAGAGAAGTTGTATCAGAGGATCATACACAAAGTTCTGAAATGTTTACATTTCATTACAAGTATGTATCAGCAGTTCAACAAAATTAACATTGATTGTTGCATGTTGACTGAGTTAGTGGGACATTTGTCAGAACTCTGAAGAGTCACGCGTGCTCTACACCGCTGAATAAGTGCCTAGGTAATTGTTCAGATCACATCCTCACGCGCTTCACTTCCTTAACGTGTCGTAGCACATTTAATTTTTCATCATTACTTTTTGTCTCTTTCTAAAAAGCAATTAATTTTTTTATTCCTTAAAACTTTTCGTTTTTCCTCAAACGCATTTATTGCCCAACCTATTTAAAGAAATTTTTTCACACTTTGTCATTTTTACAACATTTTCTCTGCAAACCGCTCTCTCTCTCTCTCAAAACTTTTTGAAACCCTAATTTCAAAACTCTTCTTCAACCTTTCATGTTTCTTCAATAATGGCCTCTTCTTCAAGCGATTTTCAACTACTGGATGTTGAGAATATTGATGAAGCACAACGCCCTCAAAATCAGGATAAGCTCACTCAAATACCTAGGGCAACCTACATTACAGTCAAGGAACTTGAAGTCTGTTGCGAACTGATGGTGGATTTACCAAATCTGAAAGCAAATGGATTCAACTTGGAAGAGGAAATACAAATACAAGGCTGGGAAATGTTCTTTGACAGGCTCTATGGTCCTGTGTATGATGTGTTGATCAAGGAATTTTGGCTTCATGCACATCCTATTCCAACCAGAATAGTCTCATGTGTTCTTGGAAAAATTATCATTGTTACTGAAGATAGAATGCTGGGGCTAACTGAAAAAGTAGGAGTGTACAAGGCTCCTGCTGGAGGTCTTTCACCAGATGTGCTGAGTGAAGTGTTTGCTGATGGAAGAATGTCCAATAATATCAAGAATTTAAAGAACCATTATAAAGTCTGGGCAAGGATCATCAACGGATGCATCCACCATGGGAAAGAATCAAGTTCTCCAGACTACATCAACGTTGATCAAGTCTACATCTTATAATGTATAGGAACAGGTAAGAAGGTGGATCTTCCTTTCCTTCTGTTCAACCATCTGTTTAACCATGTTAAAGAGACAAGGGAAGAAGCTAGGACGAAAAACCCTAAAAATGCCAGGAAGTGGATACCCTTTGGCAGAATGTTATCAGACATTCTGACTGAAAGTGGTTTGGTCAACTACTTAAGGGAAGCAAATCTCTCAGAGGAGCTGAAATACTCTGTGGGTAAAGTATATAATGCCAAGAGTTTATTGAAGCGTAAAATCATATCAGCAATTGCTGCTCCCGCTGGACCGCTACCTACTGATATCTCATCCAGAAGGATACCAGTAGATGAGTACCCCATGTTCAGCCAAGAAGAACCTCTGGAGGTTATTTTAAGTTATATCCAATTGTGCAAGGAGAAGGGTGAACAAGTTGATCCCTCAGTGCTGAATAGGCAGGACGTCATCAACGCGCTGAGGAGAAGAAAGGAACTTGTTGGAATAGTCACAGAGTTGGAAAAAGATCTTCTGAGACAAGGACCAGAAACAGAAGATAATGTTCAAGTTGTTGCTGTAGCAACAAAGAAGAAAAGAAAAGTTGTTGTTGCTTCTGCTGAAGTAAGACAACCATCTGTTGCATCCCCTGCTTCTGACGCTATTACCATCAACGAAGTTGCTGCTGAGAGTCCGGAGAAACCTCTGGTCAAAAGGAGAAAGAAGATTGTTGTCCCTCCTAAGGTTTCTGCTGTGACTGCAACTGCTGCATCAACTGCATCTGCTCAACAAACTACAATTGTTGCTCCAACTATGACTGCTCCTACTGCTGAAGTTCCAACTGCCATTGTTCAACAAGCATATACTGAAGTCTCAACTGCTTCTCAACAGAGTCAACTAGTAACTGCTGGTCAACCTGTTGTTGCTGCTGCAAGACATGCTGAACCAGTTCCTCCACCAAGAGCTGAGAAGAGAAAGCAACCTGTTGATGTTGTTGCTGATCAAGCTTCTCCAGTTGTGAAGAAGAAGAGAACTCTTATCAAAGTTGTTGATAAAGGGAAGGCTCCTGCTGAAAAATCAGGTATCACACCTACCACTTTATCTTTTTCAGAGTCTGAGACAGAGTCAGAGGACTTAGATGGCAAGATTAAACGTTTTCCTAGGAAGTTTATTATGCCCTCAACAACTGAACCCTTAGAACAAGAAACTGTAGAAACCATTACTGTTATTTCCTCTGATGATTCATTTGATGATAACTCTTCATAATCTGATGATGATATTGCTGAACCAAATTCACCTGTAGATAATACTGAACAAACTACTGAACCCCATACTGTAGAAATTGAAACAATAGAACATACTGTAGAAACTAAAACTGCTGACCATACCACTACAAATCCAACTGATTCAGAACCAAATGACTGTGCCCTAACTGTTCATAATACCACGGAACCATCAACCTCCAACAACCAAACAAACTTTGAAACCAACCCAGAATTTCAGGACATTCTATCTCGTTTTGATATTCCTGGAATCAACTCTCCTTTAAGAACCATTCCCTTACCTCAAGAAAATATCTTTACCATTCCAAAACCTAACCAGAACTTAGATATTATTCATACCCAAACCACAGAGAAAATCCCCACTCTACCAAACTCTCCAGAAAAAGAAACATCTGACCTAATCCCAGACCAAACAAATTCTGCAAATAATCCAATAAACATACCCTCTGACAACTCACAAGACCAAACTGCTGAACCATCAAACCGTGTCTTCTACAGGACTCAGATTGACCCTATGTCATTTCAAGTTCTGATAAATTTGACCAAACCTTCCAAACTGGTTGTACCCAAGTCATCTGCCATCTTTGACAAACTGGATTGTTTTAGATCTGATATGAATGACTGGTGTGATGCTCTGGAATTCCAGTTGGAAACCAGTATGAGTTCAAAGGAAGTGTTTAATGGGTGGAAAGAATTTAAGTCAGAGTTTGAGGACAAGGCAACCAGAATGCAGAAGCTCTGTGTAGAGCATGTTACTAATAAGCAGGAGGAATACTTAAGGAAAGTCAAGGCTGCTTCAGAGGAGAAATGGAGATCCAAGCAAGTTCTACCGCTGGAATTTGGTGACTGGAGACCACCAGCACCAGAATCTTCCATGCAAATGGTATTTGCTGGAACATCTACTGCTGAGATGACTACTGCTGAAGATATTCCAAAAGTTGCTGAAGAAGAACCAGAAGTGGAAATCATATGTGAGAAAGATGCTGATGTATACACGGTTGATTTGGATGTTGCTGAGATATCAACTGCTGGAAATAATAATGACGACCTCAGAAGAGATAATATGTTGTTGCATCGTCGTCTGGACTTACATGAAGAAAAGTTCTCAACATTTGTCAGAAACCATGAGACTACAAATGAAGAGATAAAAGCATTGTTGTTGGCTCTGGCGTCTAAGTTGCCCTGAAGACTCAGCATCTTCTGTCTGTTTTCATTTTGTTTTGTTTCTTCTGGAAAAAATCTTGTTTCAATCTTTTGATATTGTTTGTTCTTCTGAATTTTAAATTGCTTTGTCATTCAACTCAAATTTTAATGAAGTGATTTTTGTTTATTTACATTTTTTTTACCTATATCTTTATTGTCTTTAAATCTTTTTGATTATGACAAAAAGGGGGAGAAAACGTGGAAGGAATTATCTGACATAACAGTTTGCCTAACACTGTTCCTCAGACATTTTATCTAATAGAACACAAAGTGTTCCCTTCTGTTTTGTATTTCTCTGAATGTTTACAGGTACATCAAAGTCTGAAAGACTTACAATTTTCAAGAGGACATAAAACTCTGATTAGAAATCATCTTGAGTCAAGCTCTGATAACTCTTAGCTCTGATATCAAGTGATATTCTCACAAAGCTTCATTACAAGATTGCAAGCTCTGATTCAAGACGATTTTAAGCGCTGACATAAGCACTGCTAAAATGATCTGCTGTCACAAAGGTCTGATCACAAGCTCTGATTCTTGAAGTTCTTCAAAGTCAAGCTCTGATCCGTGAAGGTCTTCAACGGTCAAAAGCTCTGATCCAGAACATAAAATCTCAGGGAAGTTATCCTTTACCCTTTATTTATTTCAGGGGGAGATTAATAATCTCAAGGGGAGATTTTTATCATATTCTGTAAACCTTAGTTTTTCAAAACCTTTTGTTTTTGTCATCATCAAAAAGGGGGAGATTGTTAGAACATGAAATGTTACTAGCATATCTTAGTTTTGATGATAACATTAGTAAAATAAGGGGATTAAATTTTACACAAGAATATGATACTCTGATGTATTATTTTGCTCTTTGTGCAGATCACAGAACTCAGAAGTTATGTCTAACAATGCTTTCTTCTGACGTTTGCAAGACTGCAACCTCTGTTGAAGAACCAACGCATGAAAGAAAGAATGAAATGATGACAACCCTCGGCGTGAAAACTTCAAATGTTGACTTAATCACTGTAAGTGTATTAAAGTCTTATTAATTCAAAAGTGTTTGACTTTGCATTTAATGCAGGCACACTGCTCAAGACACTTGGCAGCATGCTACTTACCCTAAACAAGTCAAGTCTTCTGACATGGCAAAAAGGATAAAGCTAGCATTCTAAATTTGGAAAGAGGACAAGTTCAACGTTCTCCCAGACTGCCAAAGCTTTGACAACTGAAAGCGACAGGAGTCCTTTCAACGGTCACAAACTTGGAGTATAAATTGAAGATCTCAAGCTTGAAGAAATGTTACACACTTACGCTATTGATCCTGAACATTCAAGCTTACAAATCATCTTCACTTTCTTTCTTATTTCCTGTAATAGGCTTTTGTCTTAGGAATCAAAAGATTTACACATCACTATTGTGATCTGCTGTAAACTCTAAACAAATATTTTATTTGAGTTAAAGTCCTTAGGAGATCTAGGTAGATTTGTATTCCTGAGAAGTTTAAGGTAGTTCACCTTAAAGTTGTAGTTAGTCACAACTGTAGTTGTGCAGCTTGTAATCGGCTTGGATTATAGTGGATTAAGTCCTTAAGGTATAAGGCAAAATCACCTGGGAGGGTGGACTGGAGTAGTTGAGTTCAACGAACCAGTATAAAAATAATTGTGTTATTTATTTTTGTGTTAGAAGTTTTAAAACCTCACTTATTCAAACCCCCCCTTTCTAAGTGGTTTCTCACCTTCAGGTACCTCTTCCCATTTACTACCTTATGCATCGGAGGGTTTTCTGCAGGTACCACCCCCTCTCTCATTATGCTCGGATTTTCAAAGCTGCTCACCCATCAGAGATCCTTCTAACGAACCAGCCCTAAAGAATTTGGTCATACACAATCAGTTGGCACCGTCTGTGGGAATCCTTTACGATTTCCTCTTTGTTCTTAGCATTCTTGTTGAATGATCAAAGTTCTCTCTCTCTCTCTCTCTCTCTCTCTCTCTCTCTCTCTCTCTCTCTCTCTCTCTCTCTCTCTCTCTCTCTCTCTCTCTCTCTCTCTCTCTCTCTCTCTCTCTCTCTCTCTCTCTCTCTCTGTCATCCTATGATGTATGGTTCCAAGAAGGACACATTTGTCGCTGCTATGACAACAAAGAAGTAACTGCATTCGACGATGTCCAAATGTGGTATTCTTGATGAGTCGGTCATGTAGGCGTTACGCCCCAGTCATGACCCTTCCTCAGCCAGGGAATCTACCTTCGATGTAGGAAGTATTTCTCCCTGCCGCCTAGACCTCACTCACGAGGGAGATGGGCCTTCATCCACTTTTGAGCCCATCCCCATTCCGCATGACGTTGATCAAACAGCTAGGTTGATCTTGGAGGGCCTCAATCTTACAAACGCCATCAACTCTTCCATTCACTCTCGACTTATCTCGGTCGAGCAGATCACTAATTATTTGGCGCCTCCTCGACGCTCCCCTAGGTCGTCCTCTCGCAGCCCCACGATGGAGAGGCCTCCTAGCCAACGGAGTTCTGAGGAACCCCGCGCCTCTAGACGGGACCACAAATCCCATTCTCTTTCCCCAAGAGAGCGTCTTCCTAGCAACCGTAAGAAGACCCGAGCCATTCAACGCTCTGAAGTGTCTCCCACCTCTCCTCGCAGGTCGAGCAGGCAAGCTGAAAATCCCCTGATCTTTGCTCACAGATCAGGGCGACGTCATCAATCTAGCTCTCCACCCTGGAGATCGAGCATGAAGATGATTCGTCACTCCCGCTATTCATCTCTAGACTAGAGAGATGAGGATGAAGACAACTGAGGACCCTTGTCCCAGGAAATCAAGAATGCTCGCCTCCCTCGGGGTTAAAACAAGAAGTCCTATGGAATGTTGAAACATGTTGAGTTGAAGTATTTCAACATTTGTAACAACATGTCAAAGAAGATGTCCCAACATGGTAGATAGGACATCACGCCTGTTGAACTGAGATTCAGTACAATTTAATAGATGCAGAATATTCAGAGAATATAATGCAATTCTATGTGGCGCAAAGAAAGATCTGGAAGATTAAAATAATCAAAGATATGAAAGATTCAATCAGAATCATGAAGATTATGGACTCTCTAATCATGGAGATAAATTAGGAATATATGATTGACGATTTGATTGAAGACTTATTTTCTAACATAATCTTCTGCAGATTTGTAACAACATATTTGTTGTGATTTGTAGCCCAAGTCCAGTTGGGTAATAGGTTATAAAAAGTAACCTTTGTAACCTAGTTTTTCAATGCCTCAAACAATGTAGAATTAGGGGTTAGTCAAAGTGAATCACTCGGGTTGTGGGATGGTCATTATGTCCTCACTCAGAACCTGTGAAGTAATGAGTTGAGTATTGTTCTTAGATGAAGCTGTGAAGTAAATCCAAAAGGTTGTATGCTGGAAATCGTTATCGTTTACTGGAGTAATAGAAAGTGAAACTGGTAGGTTTCATATTTAGGAGTTCCTAGGTATAGATTGCATTGGGTAAGAATTAAGTGAAGAGTTTAAAATGGGGGCGTTTAGCTCTGAAATAATACTGCTAATATTAGATCTTCTTCCTGGTTTGGTATGCCTCCAAAGTAGGTGATGTTGCACCGAACTGGGTTAACAATTGACTGTGTATTTTACCTTTTGCATTTTACTTTCATAACTGATGTCTAATGAGCAAATATGTTTTTGTACCACATGATGTCTTGAAAGATGTTAAGACATCATGTTGTGATTGTACATGATAAACAGAACTATGTGGTCCATTTTTCTGTGTGTTGTATTTGCAAATGTGGTAACATCTGTGAATTATTTATGTAACCAGTACTAGATTTTAACCAATGTTTTAAAAACAATACCGAACCGGTCGGTTCAACTGGTTGGATCGATAATCAGAGATGAATCTGATTGGGTCAACCTTTAAAAACTGTCAGTGGGTGAAAAAGTCAAAACCGGAAAAATTGGATTGAACTGTCCAAAATCAATTGAACCAAAGAACCGGAGTAAGTTTTATAAAACCGCCTGGTTCAAAAAAATGCATCAAATTGACCATTTTTTTTTAAATTAAAATTTAACATGTCAATATCAAAACGTATCATACATTCTCCAATTACAAAAAAAAAATATTACTTATTCTTTTTACAAACATAAAAACTTTTAAGTTTTGTCACTCCGCTATAGTTTTTCTTTCAACCATGTTCAATCATCATCACATTGCCTCTTTCAAACATAGTCATGTTGTCGAGTTCACTATTGATTGTCGTTTAATTTAATTTTGTTGTTATTGTCGATTATGATTTATTTGTTGTAGTTCAATTCAAATTTGCTTTTCATGATTTAATTAAGTATATTATATTAATTGTTTTTGTATTCTATCTTATTTAATTTTTGTATTCTACATATCGTCCACTTGGATCACATGTGAAGGATCCGCAATATATCTCTGTAGTTGAGATACATGAAACACATCATGCAAATTGGAAAGTGTCGGCGGCAAAGCAATCTGATAAGTCACTTCTCCAACCCTCTCCGTAATCTAAAACGGACCAATAAACATCGGCGTCAATTTCTTAGACTTCAAAGCTCGACCAATACCCGTCATCGGAGTAACCCGCATAAACACACGATCTCCTGCGCTGAATTCAAGAGTCTTCCTTCTCTTATCATGATAACTTTTCTGACGACTCTGAGAAGTTCTCATCTTCTCTTGAATCATCTTGATCTTCTCTGTGGTTTGTTGGACAATTTTCGGTCCAATCACTGCACTCTCACCAGATTCATACCAACACAAAGGTGTCCTACACCTCCTACCATACAATGCCTCAAACGGAGCCATACCAATACTCGAATGAAAATTGTTGTTGTAGGTGAACTCAATCAATGGTAAATAATCATCCCAAGCTCCACCTTTTTCCAACACACAAGCACGCAACAAATCTTCCAACGACTGAATCGTTCTCTCAGTTTGACCATCTGTCTGCGGATGATAAGCAGAACTCAATCTCATCTTAGTACCTAAAGCTTTTTGCAAACCTTCCCAGAACCTTGATATAAAACTCGGATCTCTATCCGAAACAATACTAGACGGAATACCATGCAAGCAAACTATCTTCTCAATATACAACTGAGCTAGTTTCTCCATCGGATAATCCATCCTCACTGGTAAAAAATGAGCAGATTTCGTCAATCTGTCCACAATAACCCAAATAGCCTCACAATTCTAAACTGTCCTCGGTAAACCAGATATGAAATCCATCGATATACTGTCCCATTTCCATTCAAGAATGAACAATGGCTGCACGGCTTCTGATGTTCAATCTTCGAATTTTGACAAGTCAGACAAGCATACACAAACTCCGCTATCTCCTTTTTCATTCCAGGCCACCAAAATAACTCTTTCAGATCATGATACATTTTAGTAGCACCAGGATGAATACTCAACCTGCTTCGATGTCCTTCTTCAAGAATACTCTTCTTAAGCTCAGGAACATCCGGAACACAAACTCGATTGACAAATCTCATAATACCATTCTTATCAATTCTGAAGTCACCTCCCTGACCTTGGTTAATCGAAGTCAAATGATCAACCAAACCAACATCAGATTTCTAACCCTCTCTAATTTCATCAAGAATACTGCTAGTCAACTTCAGCATACCAAGCTTAACACTAACAGGAGTGTTCTCACATACTAAGATCAAGTCTCTGAATTGCTCAATCAAATCCAATTCTCGCACCATCAACATAGACATATGCAATGACTTCCTACTCAAAGCATTTGCAACCACGTTTGCCTTACCAGGATGGTAATTCAAACCAAAATCATAGTCTTTCAGGAATTCTAACCATCTCTTATGCCTCATATTGAGCTCTTTCTAATCAAAGAAATATTTTAGACTCTTATGATCACTAAACACCTCAAACCTCGAACCATACAAGTAATGCCTCCACAATTTCAAAACAAATACCACTTCTGCCAATTCCAAATCATGAGTCGGATAATTCCTCTCATGCACTTTCAATTGTCTCGAAGCATTAGCCAGAACTTGCTGATTCTGCATCAAAACACCATCTAAACCCATCAGTGAAGCATCACAATACACAATAAAAGATTATGTCGGATTTGGCAAAGTCAAAATCGGAGCACTAGTTAACCTCCTCTTCAACTCTTGGAATCCTTTTTCACACTCTGAATCCCAAATGAAAGCTTGACCCTTTCTTGTTAACTTGGTCAACGGTAATTCCAACTTCGAAAACCCTTCAATGAATTTTTTGTAGTAACCTGCAAGACCAAGGAAACTACGGATTTCCGAAACAGACTTCGGTGCCTCCCACTGAGATACCGCCTCTACTTTCGTAGGATCAACAGCAATGCCATTCTTGGAAATCACATGACCAAGAAAGCTTACTTCACTTAACCAGAATTCACACTTGGATAACTTCGCATACAATTTCTTCTATTTCAACAATTCCAAAACAATCCTAAGATGCTTCGCATGCTCTTCATCATTCTTAGAATATATCAGAATATCATCGATGAAAACCACCACAAATTGATCTAGATATGGATGAAATATCCTGTTCATATACTCCATAAAGACACCAGGTGCATTAGTAACCCCAAACGGCATAACAGAATACTCATAATGTCCATACCTCGTCCTAAACGCAATCTTCTGAATATCCTCCGCCTTGACGCAAATCTGATGATATCCAGATCTCATATCAATATTGCTAAGCATACAAGCTCCAACTAGCTGATCCATTAAATCATCAATCCTCGGTAGTGGATACTGATTCTTGATAGTCACTTTGTTCAACTGTCGATAATCAACACACATTCTCATAGAACCTTCTTTCTTCTTTACTAACAACACCGGGGCACCCCACGGTGATACACTTGGTCAAATAAACTTCTTTTCCAACAACTCATCCAATTGACTCTTCAATTCGACCAACTCGGATGCCGACATGCGATACGGCGCCATAGATGCAGGACTAGTTCCAGGAATCAAATCAATAGCGAATTCCACTTCTCTCTCTGGTGGCAACTCACTAACATCTTCTGGGAACACTTCTGTAAAGTCACAAACCATCGGTAAGTCATTATTAGCAGCTTCGCCATTTGCTTCCATCGAAGCAAGTATCACAAGTACTACCGCTCCATCATTAACAGCTTCCTTTACTTGCTTAGCAGACATAATCAAATTCTCCACACCAACTGCTTCCGGAAATATAATCGTCTTTGAAAAACAATTCAGATGAACACGGTTGAATTCCAACCAGTTCATCCCAAGGATAATATGAAGTTTCTCTAATGGAAGGCATACTAAATCCATACCAAAACCTCTACCAAAAATCTCAATAGGACAATTCCTACATACAAGTGAAGTATTTACTGATCCCGACGCAGGGGTGTCAATAACCATACTTCCATTCATGTCAGATATATCCAATTTCAATCTTTCAGCACAATCCAAAGAAATAAACAAGTGTGTTTCTCCAGTATCAATAATCGCAATTAAAGGTGTGCTACAAATAAAACACGTACCTTTAATCAACCGATCTTCAGGAGTAGTCTCTGACCCAGACAAAGCAAAAACCTTTCCTCCGGATTGGTCCTTCTTTGGTTTGGTACAATGCGGACGAATACGACCCTGCTTTCCACAGTTGTCGCAAGTCACAGTCTTGCACTCAGATGCCAAATGTCCAGTCTTACCACAAGTAAAACACTTCACCTCAGCACTCTTGCATTCATGCTTGCAATGTCC